ATCCTTATATCTCCAGCACATGGACTGGAAGAGCAGTATCATGCCTCCTATTTCATCCACGAGATTAGGACATGGAGGTGGGAAGCAGTTTTTCCAGCTCACCTCAGAGGCCACGCCACCACCGGGGACATTGCAAGGCTTTTATGAATCCCCAGCCAGAGATCTTGCTGCCATTCACACCGTCTGAGCAGCAGGACTTTTACTGTGAAGCATAAAAAAGGAGTTTTAATTTTGGATTAACTTCACTTATGCTAATCACTTCTTTAGATCATGCCTTAAACACCTGTCTTCAAAGAGCCCTGTGCTCCATGCTTAAGACGGGTGAAAAAAAAAAAAAAAGTGATCTGCAAAACGCCAAGGAAAAGTGATGTTCCTCGCCAGGAGATGGCACTGTGAAACTAGTCTTTCAGCATCCCATGGCCAGCGACCAACTGAACGAGGTCTCCAGGGTGAATTAAAACAAGATAAAGGTGTAAGGAAGGGATCGTTGCACCCAAAAAACATCTGGCTCAAAAATGCTATGTGGGTCAATGTGTGTCGTGGGGTTCCCAGTGCATGGAATGCATGGATGGGAATGAGCTTTGCCCGGGATCCGTCTGGGCCTTCTGCAGTCCTTTGCTTCTGTAATGACTAAGTATAACAGGGATTGGACCTGTAAAGCTCGAAGGTTGAAGGCCACTGTTCACTGCATGGAGTGAAAAGGTCTCCTCCTTTCTGAGCTCAAAGTCAGGCCCTTCTCAGGAGATGTATCCTAGCAGCCACCAAATAACACCCTGACATAAGATATGGAGCTTTTCTTTATCTTGCAACCTGCAGCTTAGCAGAGTGACATAAAGTGGGCAAACATCTCCCTTAAATGAAGGTCCTCCACGAATATACCTGACGTTTGTCAACTAACTCCTTCACGAATGGGCCTTCCCAGAGGATCATGCCACGCTGCATATTTCTCTCCCAAAACGATGGTCAGGACACCAAGAGAAATTCAGCAGGCAAATCTAAAAAGCAAAAATATTCCCAGCCACTTTGTTCTCTGTGAAAGGCAGCAAAAACCACATCCGTGTCCCGTTGTGTCTCTGTAAACATGCTCCTTGAGGTGGCACAGCTCTGGGCTGCTGCTGTGGCAGGATACAGGTGTCTGTCCATCTGCCACCGTTGGTTTGGATGGATTTCTCTGGTTCAGTGTTGGAAAACCTAATAGCACTTGGGTTTTGAACAGTTATATGGATTGGGAGTGTTTATCAGAGCAAGGGAAACTGGATGATCAAAATTTAAAACCTGGGGCTCAGGTAAGTCTCTTATCAGTACTATGTGCATAAAAGTGCTTTTTTCTCAAAAAAAAAAATCCAGATGGGAAACATTTATTCTTACCTTGAAATACAAGTTTGGTCGTCACACGGCTGCCAAAAAAGAGAAATTTTGTGATATCTAGGAGCATGCATAGCAAGGAAATTAAGGTAGTCTGACTACTTTTCATCACATTAAAGATGTATCCCCGGGAACACAGTGTTGCTGTGATTAAAACCTAAGCTAACATCAGTGTAGTTATTCACCAGAGATCAAATAAGTTTTACATCCTGGGATATGATGCTGGGAAAATTCAGCATTTCTCAGAGTTGCTTTTCTTTTCCAGTGTTGCTTTAAGAGTAGCATTAAAATAAAATCTTTCAGATATTTGACTGCAACTCATGTTCACTTATCCAATTTGTATTATCAACTGTGAGCACAATCCACAGCCTTTGCCATCGATGGAAGCCTTTATGGTCATCTCTGGATCAGGCGTGATGTAAATCTGAACCTTTTCATTCAAGTCTGAAAACTATGGCTTTTGTGTGTGTATGTATGTAATATTTTTTGGCCTTTTTTTTTTTTTTTTTTAATCCACCCTCTTGGACCACCCTCTGCAGAGCTCATTTAGATCATAAACTCTTTGGACAAGGATAGCGCTTTCCTTCCCACCTCTATGTACACAGCCAAGTGCACTGTCGGCTCTTCAGAAATGGCCTTTAAATAAAAAATGAAAGAGGGTAGGGCAGAGAAAGCCAAGGCCAAGGAGAAAGAAGAAGCTCCAAAGAGGTTGGTGGAATCAAAGCTCCTGCAAAACCCACCTAAGCAAGAATAGAAATAAAGCAGAGAAGCATCGAGCGGTAATGGAAAGAAGCTGGAGAAACATCTAAAACACTTTGAAAACTACAAGTTCTGCTGCCTTTGACTGGATGACAGTAGTTTGAGAGCTCACCATCAGTGCTCACAGCCTTAGACCAGGATATGGTGCTACAGTGAGAGAAGTCCTGGAATAATCTAATTTTGAATGAGTTAGAGAGGATACTGACATCGTATGCGCTGAGCATCTTCCTTTAAAAATATGTTGAATATCTGAAATGTCACCACACTGAAAATGTCAACCCTTTCTGTAATCATTTGGAGAAACGGGACTGCGGAAAGTCTGAATTTGCTTTCAACGCTTCCCTGGCATCTGCTGGGTTTTGGATATTATTTTGCAGTTCTGACAATGTTCCCTTGCTATTTTTGAAATCCCATCCAACCTGGAAGCCTGAAAACCACGGAGTGCTTTGTTTGTGTGTTTTACAGCAGCTCTGCTTGAACACGAGGTGCCAAACCTTTCTCCATGACCTTTCAGAGACAAACCATGAATGGCAGGAAGGTGGATTCTGGGGAAGAAATGTGCTGTCTGCAATATTTGTTCTGTCTTCAGTATCTTTTCCATGAATATATCCCAGAAAAAAAAAAAAGGGGGGGGGGAGAAAAACACACCTTTTTTCATCTCTGTTGTACTCTTCCTCCCTGGTCGTTCTCTTGCACCAAAACCCTGTGGCACGGGGATGTGTCTATGA